ATTTTTTTTGAAAATTGGATGAATCCTAGCGTGACGGTGAAATGGTTAATGAAGCGTGAGTAATTGGGGTACGGGTATCGGCCGCGTTGGGACCCAAGGCCCATTGTTCTTCGTGACGCCGACGCAGTGATCAGGAGCGTGGGGACGAGAGGGCTTAGTGGACTCCTGTATGAGCCACGTTTAGCAAATGGTCTAATGAGTCTCGAGGCTCATCACAGATTGCACTTACCACTATCCTGGTGGCCCCGGCTATCAGAGCAAGGAGTACCAACTTTTGAAAAGGATAACAGTGTTGTGGAGATATGTCAAAGCAACGTTGTGAACAAAACGGAGTGAGTGAAATTCTCATTCAAGGAGTGCCGAACTGGTCAGCCATCCTCGAATCAGTTCGCTTGCTTCCGCTTATATATGCATATTTTAAATCAGCGCGCCCCATTCTAAGGTTTTTTTAAAAAAAACCAAGAAACGTAGACTCTTGGTATTCATTACACATAAACTAGCGAGCCCCAGAATGAGAAACAAATTTTAATCATTATTATTGACGGATTAGTAAACTTTTTACACGCTTTGGAAAATCTCAGAAGTTCGCGGTAGTCACTTTTCGGTAAGGAACTAGGGGACTCGGTTATTGTGGGGGGGGGGGGGTCGAAACGATCGCAAAGGCGGTATACTACGTATACGCGCCAAAAATTCTCAAATTCAGCAGCTTTGCAATGCGCCGTAGGTGGATCGAATTCGTCATTTCGATGCGGATCAACTCCTCTCAGTCAAACATGTTTTTTCCGAACAGGTTCCAGTCAGATTTTTTGATCATGGGAAAAAAGAAAAGATCGATGGTTCACGGAAAAAATGAAATTACTGATTTCACAAGTTTATGGTTAAAAAAAGTGTCCGTTATGTTTCAATGTAGATTTTATAAAAAATTAATGCTAATTTAATCACAATTTATTGTTAAAGGTACATTAGAAACATTTCGGACATATTTTTTAATAATTAATTGTTAAATTAGCAATCCATTTTTTCCGTGATTCAAGTCGGGAAATGTTCGTTTTCATCACAAAGTTTGAAAATTTTCGATTTTCCTAGTAGCAAAGACTGTCAGGTGATTATTTTCAGGTGATCTACAAGAATCAAGCATCAAAACACGATCCTGTTACCAGCGCAACTGACCCATCGCATACCATCCGTTCCGCGGGCTCAGAGGCTGGAAGTTCCGGGTGCTGTAGCCGTAGCTTACATTGCTCCGAGTGCTACGCCCGGAACTTTCGGCCTCTGAGCCTGGAACGTGGCCGGTTTGTTTATATAGCCCGTAAGTATAGTATCCCTGGTAAAAATCGGTAGTAGAATCTGTGTTCCAAAATACCATAGACCTACGGCCGGCTGTAAGATTTCCAATAGCTTCTATAGCCGGCTACACAATTTCTTATAGCCTTTTATAGCCCGATGGCGACTAAGCTACTCACAGCCAGGCGATAAAGTGTATGCTAAACGTCACTAATTACGGATGCTAGGACTTTGTGAGTTTTTGGACCACTGCTCTCTTTTTGGGCCGTAGTATCTTGATTTATTTTACGAGGAAAGCTCCGCACTTTTGATGGACGCCTGCCAATCCTAATGCATTAGAGCGCCTTCAGTTTCGTATGGTACTGTGCAATACCTCTGGTGTGAAATAATTGCTTCAAGCGCCGTGGCACGCTGCGGTGCGTCAGGCGGGCAGCCAGCGCGAAATGCGCATCGGCGCCTACAAACATAACAGGGATACTTCACGCGTTGCGCAATGCGTGAAGTATTCCTGTTAGGTTTGTAGGCGCCAGTGCGTCGCCGCTCCGCCTATGTGTTAGGCTCTAATATTTAATCTGACGAAGTCAGCGTTATTCAACTCATGATTTTGAAATGTTTGCACATTCTGTTTGGATTTTTCTCGTTATAATTGATGAAAAAAAAATATGTATTACAGGAAAATATAACGTGTGTTTAGTAAATATTAAGGTGGTTCCGTAGCAAACTTAATGATTTCCAAAGCACACGAATTTCTACACAATTTCGTATAGCCTTTTATGATCGATGGCGAAAAAGCAACAGCCAAGCGATGAAGTGTAAAGCCCGGCGATAGGAACTATAGCCCAGCTGCATAATTTTTTATCGCTTCGTATAGCTCGGCCATATAATTTTCTCCGCTTTCTACAGTCAGCTATATGATTTTCTGTAGCCTTCTTCAGCCGGCTATAAGAATTCCTATGGTATTTTGAAACGCAGTTCTTATCGCCAATTTTTACCAGGGATCCACAGTCGGAGTTTTTTCTTTCTTTTTTTTCAGTGTAGTTTAATCTAATTCCTGTATTTGATGATTTCAGCTGCCCTGGCAGGGTTCAACTCGGGGATGTGGCGTGTGTGGCCGTCGCTAGCGATCCCTCACCTGAAATCGGCGTCGTCCCCGTTTCAGGCCTCGGACACGGAGCTGTCTCTGATCGCGTCGCTGTCCTACTTTTCCTACTTCTTGAGCCCGTTCCTTTGCCGCTACCTCATCCGTTTCGGGAGGAAATTCTGCGTGGTTGTCTCTCTCCTCCTCTTCGGGGTCACCTGGTCGGCCGCCCTTGTCGCCAGCAACCCTTACGTCCTCTACGGGGCCAGCATCGCAGCAGGATTTGGCAACGGCCTCTCTAGGTGATCCTTTTTTCCACCGCTTTCGTTATGGACGTATTTCTATCAAACAGAACTATGAGCAGAGGGAAAGATGGGGTGTGCTCTTTAGTGCTCGGGCCATAAGAATAATGAATGGGAAATATAAAGCGCCAGTGACGAATCCGCCGCTCCAGTTGCTGAGCTTCCCCTTTAACTCATGAGCTCTGCCCACAAGGCTCTAGATACATGCCCACGACTCATACACTGTGCACATAGTTCCATTTGACAGAAGGTGAAATCCCGCTTCTCCAATTCAGCAAACGGAACTGTGAGCCAACTAAGTGCGGCACCCATGAGCCGTGGGCATGTATCTGGAGCCTTGTGGGCAAGGCTCATGAGTTAAAGCGGAAGCCCGGCAACTGGAGCGGCGGATTCGTCAAACTGGCGCTTCATATTTCCCATTCATTCTTACGGCCCGAGCACTGCCGAGCACGAACGAGCACACCCCATCTTTACCTCTACACATAGTTCTGTGTGATAGAAATACGTCCATATTTTTAAGAAACATAGTTGAAAATGACCGTGTTTATGGTTACTTCGTGTTAAAGTACCTGTATGTGGAGAGTTCGGACATGTTGAAATCGTCACCCTCTGGCCAAAGTATCACAAGAGCCATGCGACGTTTCAACATTTCCGCCGTTATTTGATTTTTTTGCAGAGAAATTGTTGGTTGAATCTGTCAGATAATGTCACTAAATTTTCTTTGTGCTGCCGATAAAAGTCAGTGAAATTGTCAAACAGATCCAACCAACAGTTTCTCTGTAAAAATAATCAAATGGCGGCGAAAATTCTGAAACGTCGCATGGCGCTTAAGATACTTTGGCCGGAAGGTGACGATTCTAATCTTGTGCAGTCCGTTTTACATTGTAACAATTTTTATTTTTTATTTTTTATTTATGAACAAAACTACAGAGTATTAATTGTTTTTACATTATAAGGTTAAAATATGATTAGTAAATGAACTTTGAACTTTTGAGTCTAGCTTAATATTAGACTCTAATTTATAACTAAATACGTACTATGTATAATTGTTAATTTAGTTGTTTGTTCCTCCCCCTACGCCAGTGTCAAAAGATGAAAAGCTGACAAATTCAAGGAAATGTTGAATGTTGCATTTGGTCTGACGTTGGTGGGCAGGACAAACAATAGCTGGATTTTTAGATATATGTAAGTTGAATAACAAATTTAAGCACCCTAACACGATTCGTGCGACGGAAATCGCTGAAAGTAACTCCCATAGATTTTAACGTTTTTCGATGCATAAAATCAAACTAATGGTAAATATGCTGTTCCAGTATCATCGTGCCGATTTACATCTCCGAGATAGCGTCCCCCTCTATCAGAGGCGCTTTGGTGACGGGGTACTCGCTGACCTTCACATCGGGACAAATCTTCACCGCGGCTGCGGGGATCGAACTCCGATACCACTCGCTGAATCTGGCCGGGTTGGCTTTCTCAGTCTTCTCATTCGTGCTCGCCACCGTGTTCGTGCGCGAAACGCCCCAACATCATCTCATTGTCGGCGATGATGCTGCAGCCAAGGAGACGCACAGGTATGCTTAAGTTTTTTAAAATCAAATCAAATACTTAGGTATTAGCCGATTTCCCCTACAACACCATATTTAGGCCATGCTGTAATAAAAAACAATGTGCAAGAGGGTATTTTTTATTAACCCTAGTCTGCCTGAGCCTCTGAACCAACGAGAAAGCCTGAGCGGGGTCAATATGACCCCAGCTGAAAATCAATTAGTTAGCTATGATTTTTTCATGTTTTTTTAGTTAATATCAGTGCACTAACCTTACAGGCCTTAACCATAAAGCATATCTAAGTTTTAAAAAACACGGCGCAGGGTATGCAACCATTTTATCATACACATGTTGCCATGTTGTTCTCAGCATGAGAAAAAAAATCATAGGGCTACTAAATACTGAAAACGAAAAAAATCTGAAAAATTTTGCTTGTTTTATAAGTTTCTGAAAAAAATTAAAAAGAGAAAAATGAATACACCTTCAAAGTAAGCTTTTGTGATGCTAAATGGTAAAATATATGTTATTAGGATATCTGACCCCGCTCAGGCTTTCTAGGAGTGCTCGTGAATTTTTTGATCTCTCATGCACATTTTTTTTTTTTTTTTTTTTTTCCCCCTTCAAAATCGTGTTCCTAGATGTTTTTGTAGAGTTAATTGTGAAGGACAAAGAATTTCGTGCATACCACGAGAAATGGCAAAGAGTTGAAACTCCCGTGGGGTCAATCTGACCCCACTCAGGCAGACTAGGGTTAATAACAATTTTATCTTAACATGGTGATAAACGTCACGGCGCCTTCAACATTGTAGGTATGCTTCAAACGCTACACCGTTACACATACTCTCCGATGTGCAAATTGCCTACACCGCGCCTGCTGGGGTGTACACCGTCCGATGGCCACGATAGCCCTTGTCTGCACATCTGCACCATGGTACCAACATTGTTGTTTTTAGCAGAGAAGACACCTGTGGGCTGATTATTGAAATTGATAGAAAAAGCGATGGGCAAAGCGATGGGCAAAGCGATGGGCAAAGCGATGGACAAAGCGATAGACAAAGAAGACATAAGGAGTATGAAGCGATCCTATTGGTTTAAATGGGTGACAGTTATAGATCAAGGTGGTTTATAGACTAACCATAGGGTTTCTCGTGGGGTGCCGTAAGTTAGTCTATTACCTGCCTCCTTTGTCCATTGCAGCCACCCGCTTCTCGGCTTCTAAGTTCTACCAATACTGCGAAGGAAGAACTCCGTATGAGCCCTCAGACGTTGCGAAATTTCCTTCGATAAAATACGAATTTATTGGAAAAGTCACGAATATTTTCCCCCAAAATTTTCAGACAATTTTGTTCGCGATTTAATCTAAAACATCTGAAAATCTCAAGGAAAAACCTGCATGACTTCCTTTCAAAATAAACATTTTATCGGAGGAAATTTGGCAACCCTCGAATGTCCATACGGCGTTCTTCCTTAGCACGGCAGAATAGGATCCCTCCATATCCCTTTTGTCTTTTTTGTCTATACTTTTGTCTACCAATTTCAACCGTAGAGAACAAAAGGAGGTGTTTGCATTTCGGGCATCTTGGATTTTTTTGATGACGTGGGTCGGTACAGCTACTTTTATCATCAATTTTTTCGGAAATGTTGTAATTTATGGAAAAAAGTCGTTCCATAACAAGTGCTTGAAATCATATCACGAGTTGATTTAAGCAAAAAAATGGGACATTATGGTTCGTTTTCCATACCTCGAATTCTGGATTTCGCTGGCCAGGTTGTACCGACCTACGTCACAGGGCAAACAAACCTCAAGATGCAAACACCTCCTTTCTTTTCTCTATGAATTTCAACAATCAGCTCGCACGGTAGAGATTCTTAGAGTACCTGTATAGGGAGAGTACCGACAGATCGGTTCATGGAGGGCTTAGGGCCCAAAAGTGCAGCCACCCTTCTAACCAACTTCTAACGCACAAAATTTCACTGCCAGTCTGCAGATTCCAATTCTAACCCAGATGGCCAAGAATGTACAGAAATGAGCGTTCTTCCGCGAATTGAGTAAATTTATTCAAAAACTGAGTCAAACACGTGCTTAATAAAGGACGGTTCGTAACAATAGTATCAGTAAATAGCTCTGGATAATTGAAATTCATAGGTTGGCTGCCCTTTTGGGCCCTAACTTTATTCGCGGAGGCATCGGTGAAGGCCTGATGGACTTTCGGAGTTTCAGATCTGTCGGTACTCTCCCTATACAGGTACTCTAGGGATTCTCCTCGTCCCTTGGCCGATGTCTGAGCCTTAACTGCCCTTGTTCCAGGTACTTCCACAGCAACGCGAGCTCCTCCCTGGAGGCGAAAGACGGCGCAGACCAAGACCTGGAGGAGATGAAGAAGAAGATCCTGGCGGAGATGTCCTCCCAGAGCTCCTTCAGCGAGCTCTTCCAGACTCGCGGCTCCCGGCGGGCCGTCCTCATCATCTGCCTCGTCTCCTGCTTCCAGATGCTGGCCGGCATCTCCTCCATCGTCTCCTTTTCCTCCATCACCCTCCCGCCCACGCACTCCTACCTCACCGTCGACCTCACCGTCCTCCTATGCCTCGTCCTGGGCGTCACCTCCAACTCCATCGGCTCCTACCTCATCGACCTCGTCGGCCGGCGCATCCTCCTCGCCGTTTCCAGTTTCCTCGGCTCCGTCATCACCCTCGCCCTCGCCGTCTTCTACTTCCTCCACGACAAGGACACCCTCCCCGGCGACGTCGTCTACCTCCCCTACGCTCTCACCATGGCCTACTTCTTCGTCTTCTACCTCGGCATGGGCATCGTCCGCCCCGTCTTCATCGGCGAGCTCTTCCCGACCAACGTCAAGGTCCACGCTTCCATGATCTCGATCCTGTGTATATCCGCCGCCTCCTTCCTGGTCAATTTCATCTACCTGCAAGTCAGTAATCTGGTGGGCGTCTACGCTATGTTCCTCGTTTTCACTCTCAGTAATATTTGTAATTTCGTGTCGGCTCTGTACATCGTCGTCGAGACGAAAGGGAAGACTCTGTTCGAGATACAGGAGTACTTCAAGGGTTTTTAGAGCTCGGATATTTTAAGTTTTACGTGAAATTGACTCGGCTCAACTCTACGGAAACGAATTTGGTGCATTCATGTCTGAAGACGAGTATTCCATTTCCAACGTTTCAAATGTACAGATGGGCATTTTTGTTTTATCGAATGGAATGCCAATTCCAGTGGCGTGGCGTGAATTGCGATATATCGATTGTTATGCCATTTAAACCTATGAAAAAAGATCGATTATCAGGGTGTTCGCAGCGAACACCTTAGTAATCGATTCTTTACCATAGTTTCAAATGGCGAGATATCGATAATCGATTATTCACGCCACGCCACTGGCCAATTTATGCCATACCTCGAACAGTTCGGTAAATCCTCTTTTTGGAAAAATATCTTGTAAACATCGAGGAATTCTTTGCAGTAACAACGTATACGAGTAAACTTTCCGACACTCATCAGATTGTGCAACCAAGTATAAAATTTTACAGCTGAATAATTTAAAGCCCAACTAGAATTTTTCGCCTCAAATTTTCCCTAATTTCACCTTTTTTTATATAAAAATGAAGAGCACGTGTATTTCTTCGTTTTTTTTTTATATTCGAGATTGCACACATCTGAGAAGCACTAAGTACTTTTATACGCTACTTCAATGACGAATAACTTAAAGTGGAAATTTGGAACGCTGCAACTGGAATAGTTGTCTTGAGAAATGAACCATCGATATCTTAAGCTGTCTTCACACAATCGAACCCAGATTTTCAAAATAGGCGATGGGTGCCGTTGCCAACCCTCTCTCATTGGTCAGCGATGCGAGTTCGGTACATACTTTGAAAACCTCTATTTGATTGTGCGCCGTAGACTATAGAGATATCACACCGGCTATCCAAGTGATGTAAACGGAAGGAGCAAAGAGGTCACTTTCGGGAGTTTAACATATTCTCAAGCCATCGTCATACAGCCAATTCGAGACTTTCAAAATCTGTGATCGGTGCAATTGTTGACTGATGAAAAAATGCACCGCTTTGGAGTGTTTTAACGAATAATGCATTCAAGGCATATCATAAATTGGATGTATTCAACTAAAATTAGTTTAACTGTGCATCATGTTGCCCTCTCATATTTTGCTCTTTAGACAAAGGACTAAACAAAAAACGCATTGAAACTTTCTGTGAATTTCTCCTAGATTCTGAAAAATATACTCTCGAAATTGCAAATAAAAATGTTGTTTGGTTCTCTGCCAAAAAATCAAGAAATAGAGTATGAGAGAGAATTATAGACAACGTATGATGCACAGTGGCGTGGCGTGAATTGCGATATATCGATTGTTGTGCCATTTAAACCTATGGAAAAGGATCGATAAACAAGGTGTTCGCAGCGAACACCTTAATAATCGATTCTTTACCATAGGTTTAAATGGCATAACAATCGATACATCGCAATTCACGCCACGCCACTGATGATGCAATTAAGCTGATTCTGGTCAAATATGTCCAATCATACTGATCCACATGAACATTTTCCTGAAAAAAAAAAAAGTACTGGGAAAAAAATTCAGAGCATCTAGCAGCTTATCCTATTCAAGAACCGCATGTTTGCTGGTTGGAGACAGCTCGCGCAGTATCTTTCATTGCTCAGTGATAACGGATGAATGTCGTACATAATGAGCAATTCGTAAAACAAGTTTGTCAAATTGGATCATTTTTGTTGAGCAAATACATGAGTCATCAATCATCATTGAGCAAACGTGCACGTTGATTCCCGAAAGTGACTTTTGAGGTGTTAACTATTTAACTGTGGTTATTTTCTCCGCCTGTATATTAGTTTTTTGACTGGTAGGTTACGAAGTCCTTTACGGCACTCATGGAAGAGGAAATTGGGCGTTTAAGGTGGGATTTTTGGAAAACTATCGGTCTCAATTACTTAAAATTAACGAGTCTGATCGCCAGGGCTATGTTTGAGCAGTGTGCGTTCAACCATCAACCTACTTATAGGTGTCTAGTGTATTTTTATGAGGTAAACAGATTTGTTTGAAACAAAAGTAGATAAGTTGCTTTGTGTCATATAATCTTATTTTTTTGGTTGAATCAAGGTAAAATAGTTGGATCCATCAAATTTTCAAATTTTCGTCCGTTCAATATCAATGGGGTTGTTGCCATAAACACAGTGAATAACGTCATTCATTGCGGGTGTGCCTTTAGTGATTTTTTCCACCTTGAGTTCATCAATTTTGAAGCTCTATACTTGATTTGGTTGCTCTACGTACATCACGGGTAAATTCAAGGTGGAAAAAACCAGGCGCACGACCGAATTAATGACACCAATCACTTTATTAGAATGGCAATATCTCTATTAATATAGGGCGGTGGAAAATCAGTGTTTAGAAAATCTAAATGTATTTTATTTATCTGTAAGTTTCAACCATGAAAATACCATTTTATGACCAGCGTAATCAATCCAAGGAAAGGGTCGAAGAGGCATTATTACAGCCACATACGAAGCGTTCAATCAAGAACGATTGATAATAAATGCTTAGAAAGGCTTATCCGAAAAACTGATATAAAATTCCGATGCTGGAAAGTTTGTTGAGACCTTCTGACAGGGTGTATATTATTTTTTAATTATTTTTTGGAGATATGAAAAGATGTTCCTCACTGGAATACAATGGAACCACGCTTTTGAACAATTTGAAAATTTGAATTATAGCCCAACTCTCTCGGGAAGAAAAGGCATCGGCGGATTCATCCCCGATGTAGTGTCTTCCGACGGTCCCGGGGCCTCTTCCTCGGGACTTCCGTAAACGCCTCTATTTTATGTGTGATATATATATCTGTAATGTAAACTTAATTAATAAANGTTTAAATGGCATAACAATCGATACATCGCAATTCACGCCACGCCACTGATGATGCAATTAAGCTGATTCTGGTCAAATATGTCCAATCATACTGATCCACATGAACATTTTCCTGAAAAAAAAAAAAGTACTGGGAAAAAAATTCAGAGCATCTAGCAGCTTATCCTATTCAAGAACCGCATGTTTGCTGGTTGGAGACAGCTCGCGCAGTATCTTTCATTGCTCAGTGATAACGGATGAATGTCGTACATAATGAGCAATTCGTAAAACAAGTTTGTCAAATTGGATCATTTTTGTTGAGCAAATACATGAGTCATCAATCATCATTGAGCAAACGTGCACGTTGATTCCCGAAAGTGACTTTTGAGGTGTTAACTATTTAACTGTGGTTATTTTCTCCGCCTGTATATTAGTTTTTTGACTGGTAGGTTACGAAGTCCTTTACGGCACTCATGGAAGAGGAAATTGGGCGTTTAAGGTGGGATTTTTGGAAAACTATCGGTCTCAATTACTTAAAATTAACGAGTCTGATCGCCAGGGCTATGTTTGAGCAGTGTGCGTTCAACCATCAACCTACTTATAGGTGTCTAGTGTATTTTTATGAGGTAAACAGATTTGTTTGAAACAAAAGTAGATAAGTTGCTTTGTGTCATATAATCTTATTTTTTTGGTTGAATCAAGGTAAAATAGTTGGATCCATCAAATTTTCAAATTTTCGTCCGTTCAATATCAATGGGGTTGTTGCCATAAACACAGTGAATAACGTCATTCATTGCGGGTGTGCCTTTAGTGATTTTTTCCACCTTGAGTTCATCAATTTTGAAGCTCTATACTTGATTTGGTTGCTCTACGTACATCACGGGTAAATTCAAGGTGGAAAAAACCAGGCGCACGACCGAATTAATGACACCAATCACTTTATTAGAATGGCAATATCTCTATTAATATAGGGCGGTGGAAAATCAGTGTTTAGAAAATCTAAATGTATTTTATTTATCTGTAAGTTTCAACCATGAAAATACCATTTTATGACCAGCGTAATCAATCCAAGGAAAGGGTCGAAGAGGCATTATTACAGCCACATACGAAGCGTTCAATCAAGAACGATTGATAATAAATGCTTAGAAAGGCTTATCCGAAAAACTGATATAAAATTCCGATGCTGGAAAGTTTGTTGAGACCTTCTGACAGGGTGTATATTATTTTTTAATTATTTTTTGGAGATATGAAAAGATGTTCCTCACTGGAATACAATGGAACCACGCTTTTGAACAATTTGAAAATTTGAATTATAGCCCAACTCTCTCGGGAAGAAAAGGCATCGGCGGATTCATCCCCGATGTAGTGTCTTCCGACGGTCCCGGGGCCTCTTCCTCGGGACTTCCGTAAACGCCTCTATTTTATGTGTGATATATATATCTGTAATGTAAACTTAATTAATAAAAAAAAAAAAAAAAAAAATCGGCGGATTCAGCAATTTGGCAACATTGTTTTTCTCCATTTAAACCCATGGGAATGTATTGATTCTTGGAGGGGCCAGGTGCCCCGACAAGAATCGATTATTTAATATATATTTAAATGGAGGAAATCGATGTTGCCGAATTGCTGCATCCGTCTCTGGAAAAGAGTGTAGGTACAAACAATAAGTCATTCATGGTACGGAAAGATATCTTATCGACTAGGAAATAAGAAGTTAAGGCCGTTCGGGCAAAAAATTGCTTGCTTTTTCTTGTGTGTAAAAAGTCTTATCAGACGCCGTAACTTTCAATTTCATGTTAATTTGGTATCCATCTAAGTCCCATGAGTTCAATTTCTATATCCACACCCTTTTTGTCCTGTGAGCGTTCAACAATTAAAATTTCCACATTTTTGAAAACAAGATTTTCATCGTACAATTAAGATAGAAAAGTTTGGAGAATTATCGGAAATTTTTCGGATTTCGAAAGACTAAAAAATAAGCTACGCCTTGCCTTGCGGGTCTCATCACAACTACTTTCTTCATATTTCGGCAATTAATTTTGATGGTTATTGTGTTGCTTCGACCCTTTCAATGTATATGTGTAATTCGTCAAACTCCACAAAGCAGCGAACATATAAAAAGGTAGGGTTCCCAGTGAATTACAGTACATATAGGACTCTAAAACGCTTGTTATTCCTTCTTGATCAAACCGCACTGTTACTGCATCTAACGAGTTTCTCCAACGATAATACCTTGAGCATGTGCAATTCCAGATGATTAATTAGAGCAGCTGCCTTCTGGCTTCGATTCCGATTTACCGGTCATCAAAGTGACCATTGGCCACCTCGAGAGGGCAATCATGAGTCGCCTGATGAGTAGAGAGAGCCCGCTGTACAGCTGTGGGGTATTCAATGTTTAACAACATTAGTGAGTGGATGTGTCTCTGACTCATACATGAACTCTCAATTGAACGTATTTCTGTCAAACAGAACTAGGTGCATTAAGACATGAGCCCTGACACCTATAAGGATATATGCATAACAGGGCTCACGTCATAATGCACATAGTTCTGTTTGGCAGAAATACGTCCAATTCGAACACTCTCCAATCAGAGCAGAGGGAATTCCATCAAATATTGAGCGACTTAAAATCTCCCGGGATCTATCAGAATAGTTTTTTGTGGACAATCTGAGTATATTTTTCGAAATATTTGTCAAATTTCATTCAATTTTGAACGTTTTTTGAATTTTATTTGGACTACTTTTGACTACTTAAGAAGATTCACAGGAGCTCATATGAAGTGGATACTTGTCTAAGAGTATTATTTTGCCAAAGAGTATTTTTTTACTTTTTCAAAAGGTGTAGCCAACATATCCTTTTTAAAAAAATACTGGAAAACACGCTCGTTCTCTAATCAATGAGGTGAAATCATTGCCAAATTTTTAAACCAAGTAAGGGAAATTGCTGGTTTGGGGACTGGGCACATCACTTGAAGATTTTACCTCCTATAGGAGATAGCATGCATGAGCCGAAATACAACAACCTATCGTATGGGCATTTTACTGAGAATGCAACGGTAAATGTAGGACATTTTCAGAATCAACTCATTAGGAGCAAATTGATTTTTTCAGTGAGTCGATTAAAAACAAGGAGACCTTTCCCCGATGTAGTGTCTTCCGACGGTCCCGGGGCCTCTTCCTCGGGACTTCCGTAAACGCCTCTATTTTATGTGTGATATATATATCTGTAATGTAAACTTAATTAATAAAAAAAAAAAAAAAAAAAAAAAAAAAAAAAAAAAAAAAGGAGACCTTACAGTTGGATGATTCTCTCAGAGCAACTGAATTTTCTCAATCAGCTTTTATTCGGTGATGACTGCATAGGCGGATCCAGCAATTTGGCAACACCGGATCTCCTCCATTTAAACCTATGTTAAATATCGATTCTTGTCGGAGCACCTGGCCCCTACGGGAATCGATAAATTTCCATAGGCTTAAATGGA